AAAGTGCGGCAATGTTTGAGGGTCACGCATGGAAGCCAGTTCTTACGCGCGGCTTCAAAAGAGCTTCTTCCTTGGACAGTGTCATTCGAAGCATTGGGTTTCGCATAGGCTCACTGACCTATGATCGAATTGGAAGGGGCACTCAAACATCAAGAACGCAATGACTTCGTCAAAGTTTTCGCCGCGCCCCGCGGCCAGCGGCCCACGTGTTTGCCACGGAGCATGCTACAAATGCTTTTTCTCAAATCTTCACGGGGGGGGCTGTTATGGCGATGGATTGACCATAGATTCACCATCAATCTCCACTGTCCCCATTGGCAAACGGATTGGATCCGCCAAACGGATTGGATCGTTCCAAGTTTTCGGAGCGCCCGTGCTCCGTTCAGTGTCCAAGCCTCTGACTTTAGTTGGCACCGCTTTGGTGGACGCTTCCATGAGGTTTCATCTGCACCCAGCATGTCCATTTTCACGCTAAACTTCATAGCCAGTCTCTCATCTGCCGCAGGGCCTCACATTGATGGGGTCGAAGATGTTGTGGCGGAGACATTGTGGCGCTGCAGCTTTTGTTGAAGCCGCTGCAATTGCCCTGCGCATGTCGCATTTCGCTCATCCCCTCGCCTTAACTCATATTCATTTTTTTTGCGCCTTAACTCATATTGTCTCAAGGGTTTTGCCTAGCTATCAGCCTGAAGGCCTCTGTATCCTACCCAGATACCTGGGAGCCCCTGGCTTTGCCTTCAGACTGCGCGGCAAGTATCTTCTGCATCCTCTCTGCTTTTGGGAGTACGCAATTTCTGGATAAGGAGCTCGCATGTAATACTCAACTTCCTAAGCAAAGACAAGTAAGTCATGGTGGGTCAAGATCCTTTTCAGTACTGCTCGTGCTTCGGAGCATGGGCCAAAGCAACGACAACAGCCTTGCTTCATGTGCAACACGCAGCATGAAAGAACGAATCTTGATGGACCTTGGCAGAGGGGCACTCTTTGCCACCTTGTGGAGGGTCTCTGGGTCTGCTTCAATTTTTTTTTGTGAACCCCTGGGTGCCTGGACGGAACAGGACATCTGCCAAACATGTGCCCGAATGAACCTCCCCGGATCCCAAGCCGAAGGGCGAAGGGCGCCCCGAAAGTTTCCCTGGCATGCTGCGGTTGCCAAAATTCGGGGAACACCCCAAACAGAACCCTGGCAAAGGGACACATTTTGACTACAACCCGCGGCTCAATTCCTGTAATTTTGGCCCACAGCCATATGTTCTCCCAGTCTTCAACGGAGTTTGCCAACGCAGGCTGCGCTCATCCTCACACGTGCGTTCCTTGCAAGAGTTGCTATGGACATTGGCAAATCGGCTGACCAGAAACACTGGCTTTCCATCTAGGATGCTTCTGCATGGCTGGGTCAAATTCAGGCCTCTTGCGGAGCCGCATCTTTGGCGGCGTTGGCTGCTTGCTCAGGGTGCTGGCTCAGGGCATCTGCGTAAGCTTGGTTGCGTTTGGGGGGGTGCGGCCTGCCAACGCTCTGTGACTCAGCGTGAAAACTAACGAACTTTGGGCAGCCCAGTACTCTTCCGCTTGCTAAAGTACGGCCAGCCCCTGAGGGTTGCCTGCGCCCCAAAGCAACACCCCAACGCCCGAACCTAGAGACCCAATCCGCCTGTAGCCACGTGCTCGAAATAGTCATAGCCAAGCGCGAGGGCAGAGACTGCGGCTGCTTAATGTGCGGTTCGGACAAAGCTGGCCGATACTTCTTGAGAGCTAAGACATGCGCTAGCAGCTTGCTGCAGAGGATCACGTAATTCACCTAGAAAACTTATCGCCTGAGCCTAAACCCTGAAACCTGCACCCCAAACCTAAACCCTGCCAAAACCTAATCCCGAAACCTGAACTCTAATCCCGAACTCTGAACTTGAACTGCACCCTAAACCTGAACCCTAAACCTAAACCCCAAACTTAAACTCTAAACCCAAAATGCAAGGCCCTGAAGCTTGCAGCTGAACCCTAAACTAAAATGCTGGGCAGGACAAGGGTGGATTCTGGGGTGACGGCAAGCCACGGGATGTCGCGTTGTCTCGGCCTGCTTTGGACGGTCTGATGAAAGTGGTTGCGCTGCGTCAGCAGTGTTTTAGTAGAGGAGATGCTCTTCCGTTTGCTAAGAGTAGGTGTCACGATAAGCCGCAAGCTAAAGTGGTCCACACTCCTAGTGTCACTAGTGTTTCAAGAAAGGAAACGATTTCCCGCTGGCAAACAAGTAGATGTCACAATGTCCGTCAGCTAAAGTGGTCGACTTTTTATCCAGGAGACATCTTTCTGCTTGCTTAAAGTAGATGCCGCTCTGGTGTGTAGGCTAAAGTGGTGGAAGTTGCTCTACTGGGGCCAAAAGTCGAAATCCCCACCTGAAAGGGAATGCTGAAATTTGAGTCGACTACAGAAGACAGGCAAAGGAACAGGCTCCAGCTTGACGAGAATTCTAACTGGCATGGACAAAGACTTCAGTAGTGAAAGGCGCGGACAGGGCAGGAGCATTGGCGCAGGAAGAGGCAGGACAGGCAGTGCCCATGCAGGACTGCACAGGATATGGCACCTAAATATATTCATTAGGATACGTGTATAATGTGTATATATATATATATACATATACATATACATATACACGGATGGCTGGCTATGCACAGAAGCCAAATCATTGCCGAGTTTGCCAAGAGATTTGTAGTCAACACATGTTGGTGAGTGCACTCGTTGCCTACACCGAAGCTAGTGACCATGTCCCTCCCTAAGCAAAGCACTGAACATGACCAGCCTGTGCTCGAGGCAGTCCAGCAATCAATTCAAACAACAGACAGCAGAACAAATGCACCTGGGCAAACATACCTGTCGTAATCGATTTGCTGCACCAAAGGGTCCTGCACAAGTGGCAGCCAGGGGACCGCTCTCCTGGTTAGTTGGCCTGGGCAAGCTCTTCTGAAAATGTGAAACTTGTTGACAGCCCTTCCGAACCTCAGTTTCGCTGCGGCTTGCGCCTTCTTGAGATGCACTATGCGTGTGCCTACATGTGGCACAGGTAGTGCACTTGCCAATTCGCCTCGATTGTGTTTCCTGTTCAGCTGGCTCTGGCCGTTTTTTCCATGAAGATCCACCTGTGATTGGTCTGGATTTGCTCATCGCATAGCGTTGTGTTTGCCTTTGAGTGTTGTTTCTAGCAAAATCATTCATTTTGTTGAAGCGCGGGCGATGCTGGGGGGGGGGGGGGTTCGACCGCTTTGCGTCGACCACTTTAGTCAACAAAGACCGTCATGTCGGGCTTGCACGCGAGCTTTCAACATGCAGTTGTGTACCCAGATTCTAAAAACTCGCGTTTCGAAGCCACGACATCTACTTTTTCTTAAGAAAGTAAATCAATTTACAGGCGATTCGGCCTCCCGAACCTTGAAGTCCTGGGTTGGACTGCGCGGGGTCAGGAGGGTGCAGGGCCGGGTTCATCCTAGTAAGCATTTATTAAAAAAAAGGAGTAAAAACACACGCCCTATCTACAGTATGTACTTACAACGATATCTATGTACTCACAACAATACGTGTAAAAATACAGAGGTATACGATATATATATATATATGTAGTCACAGCAATATCCCAACGTGTGCAAATATGACACTCATGTGTTTCTTCTCGCCTTGCGAGCCCACCATTTGCTTGAAGCTCCAGCCTGGTTGGTCCGCGCGCCCGGCAGGAGAAGCACCTGGCACATGGAAGGAACCGATTTCCGATGGCTTTTGGCAACATCCCATGGATTGTGACCCAAGAAAGGCTGGGAGGCAAACAACTGGGTGGGAGTCTGATGCACTCCAGTCTTCCAGACAACCAAGATGAATGCACAGTTCATGAGCGCCTGCAACCATGGCCTTTGCTATGTGGCCGTCTTTCATTTGAAGGCAACCTTTCATTTGAAGGGTTTCATTGTCACATACCCAAGAGCCAGACCATCTGGCTCCTCGGCCAAAGCTCAGACACCGAAGCATCGCACGAGAAACCAGCGCTTCGTCTTCACACCCGCTGGGCGTAAACGAAAAAAATACAAAACCAGCGAGCCAATGGCATCCAAGCGTTGCTTTCTCCGTCCGCTTTTGACTGGGCATGGGCTGTGCTTTGAGGCTGCGAGCCAAAGCCGAGGTAGATGCCTGACCGGCGGAGTGAGGCAAGAGAATACATCCAAGGAGTGTCCATTTATTTGGGTGTGGATCAAACTTAAACAGCTGGGGTTACCAGGCTTTAGCCTTGGCTTCCATTTACCAAGGTGTCATTTTGGTACGTGTTTCAAGCCAGAGCCATTTGCCGATTCTTGGAGAGGTGCGCACCGCTTTCGTACATCCCCGCTTGATATGCCCTGCAGCTGCGAGTCGGCTTTTTTTTGGGCGAGATGCATGCTCCCGATACCGGGGGCATGTCATTCCGAGTCCCGACTCTATTTGAGCCCGAGAATGGAACGCGAGTGAAGCGAATCTGGCAAACTTGGGTTTGCTAAAGTCTCTATTTTGATTCCCTTTGAAAGAACCCCTACATGGGTACCAACTGAAAGGAACCCACATACATGCCTTGTGACCATCCTCGCCAGCTACTCTGCGACATAGAATCACTCACCAGGTGCATTGAAAACAATTTGGCCGTTTCCTCTTTTGCACCGGTTTCGGTGCCGAAGATCTCTGCAGCAGGTCAGCAAAGATACCAAGAATCCAAGGGCGGCACCTGTTCATAAGAAGAGACTGCCCCTGTATCCAAGTTTTGATTGTAGCTTGGGTGTTATCCTTCAGATCCATCTTCACTCTGGGCTTTGTATGGTCCAATCAACTCCTTGGGAGTTGAGCAGACAGGGATAGCAGAGATTTCACCATGTTAGAAGGCATCAACATAAGAGCATTCTGTAAAACAAAAAGTAGCTTGACATATCCAAGCAGCTTGGCATATCTGTCGCATTCATGTTAACAGTTTCAGTATGATTCCAGCCCCTTCAAACGGGTCCGCAGTTCAGAACCAAGCGGCTCGCTCATCTTGCAGGCGCTTTCTCCTTCGCGAGAGAAGGGACTCCATTCGCCAGGGAGCCAACATCTCAGGTGGACCCCATTCAGGTGGTTGGCTTCCACTTCCCTTGGCAACTATCCCAAAAACACTCTACTAATCGAGGCAGGCTCGGACAAAAAACGTGTTCTTCTGAGTGCTCTTGGCAAAACCAGTGAGGCGACCGCACCCCGCACCTTGGGCAGTGAGAAGTGAGGACTCTTGACTCTGTCCTTGCTCCGGGAAACCTTCGCCGCATGCTCATCACCGAGTTTGTCTCTTGAGCCGGGTGGATTCCTTTGGTACCCCTTCAAAGGTATCAAAAACAACATGCCCAAAAGCCAGCCACGCACAGACACTCGCAGTGCACGCAAGGTCACCCTAGCAGCAAAAACAATACGTCAACAATGCTCCGACAAGATGATCTGCAGGGTTGCCGTCCGCGAATGAGTTCAGGACAAAAGTCGCAAAACTTGGAGCACTCGTCTCTTCTCCAACGCATTTTGGAGGCTCACCCGGCAAGCGAAGGTTGTCCAATCCTCGCCTCGGCCCTCGGGGTGGATGTGTGCCGCCCCGACTGGCATGCTTCAGGTCTCCGACTCGAAAAATGCGAATATCTCGACAAAACCTCCTTCGTGTGCTTTTTGTCGAACCCCATTGTAACCTTCAGAAAAAACACGCAGCGCGAATTCCTTGCGGCCAAATGTGCATGGCCTTAAAATGGCCGGGTGTTCCTTTCGGCTTTCCTTTAACAGCAACGCAAAATGGGTACCAACTCAACAAAAGAAACGCGCCCACCCAAAGGTCGCGACTTTTCCGTCTCCCCGCGCCTGCGAACTACTTGGCGGCCCTGGCTCGCGAACGATGCAACTGCGCGACTCATCTTCAGCAGCTGGGTGAAACGCAAAGCCAAAAGCCTTGGATTCGATGCTTTCATTTGTTCCAAATGCAGTCGAAGATTCAAATCAACCTGTTGGACCTACGTCCACAAAACAACACCGCGAAGTGATCGATTGGTCAAAGGCTACGAGCCTCTGCGAAGCTCCTTCGAAGTGGCGTGTTTCTAAAATGGACACGCGTTGGTTGGGATTCAAGGAACACCGTGCGTCTGTCAGCGAACCGGCTATGTCGGCTAGACTGGCGCCCGGCTATCTGAATATGAAAAGCGATAGCGCCGAGCTGTCCTGTTTTGGCTCTTGACAGCTGCGGTATGTTACACTTGTCGATTTGTGCTGTAGTGCGCCATAACTCACGCAGGCCCTCCTGGACGCGTGAACGTTGCCACCTTCAGCGGCCACCTCGCCGTTTCAAGCGCGCAAGGCCAAACTGTGCTGGGTCTCACTGTACACCAAGCTCATGGAGCACATCAGCTCTTGAACTCTCGGCCATTCCAGGTACTTAGTGCCAGCGTCCGCTTGAACAATGGATCTCTCGGTGTTGCACTTTCTGCTGCGACCACAAATAGCAATCGTGTATGGCCTTCCTCGCAAGCATCGCTTTCGCTGCAGACGCGTCAAAATGCCAGTGTGGCCGTCATCGTCAAACCAAGATCAGCTGCCATAGAAACTGCTCCCAGTAAAACTGACCCAGCCTTGATACCAGGGTAAAACTCCGGCTCTCCAGACCACAATGCGAGTATGCGCTGCGTGCTCGAAGAAAACTTGATCACATGTGAACCTCTCATCAATTCCCCGCACGAAGTTGACTTCCGCGTCTCATGACAACCAGCATCATCGCTGTCCGTATACATAACAAACTCATGAACTTCTTCTTGATCTTCACACAGCCAGACCAACCTCGGTCTGCCCTTCAAGAATCAAGCGAGCCTTTTCAGGCCCTCCCAGCTCCATTCAGTCGAGCTGGACATCTGTCTCGCCAACTCCTTGCATGTCTGGTCAGCCAGAAAATTGCCCCAAACTGCGATATTGCCTGACACACTCGCCCGCCAAAGGCTTCTCATCTCCCGTCTTTGTTCCAGGCGTAGATACTGCACGACCCTCATTCAGATTCAACTCATTTGGCAATACGTCGCCTGTGTCCGGACCCAGCATGCCACCGTACTTGGTTTCATATCTCTCCTCAAGTTTCTGCTTCAGCCACAAAAGATCAGACTCCTCGCCCAACGAAGTCATGTCATCTCCATGAATTGAAGTGCGAATATCTCTCAATGCATGATAGGGCTGCCTACACCCGGAGCAAAACCACATTCGCTGAAAAAGTCTGTAAACTCAGCCTCCCAACAGGTTGCGGCATCACGAGTGCCGTACATCGTCCAGGTCGATGTCGCTCCGGCGGCAGTCTCACATAAATCAATCTCGCAGCTTCTTCCGGCTCGAACGTTGCAGCGACAAAAGAAATCTGATGCTTTCCAACGGTGGTGTAGCTGCTAATAAAGCTTCCTGCGCCCCGTTGCGAACTTCCTGCACGACAAACCTGCTGCGATAATTGGGGTTAGTTTCATCCCCCTTGTTTATGTGAATCCAACGCGCGCCACAGTCGTCTTCCGCACTCATGTCCCAATCAGGTTCTCGGGTGGATTCCTGGTATGGTGCTGGAGATGGAACGCTGGGGGATGAGGGCTTGATTGAGCCAGTCTTCTGTTCTCCGGAGGGCTATTTGAGGGTGCTGAAGTATCGAGTGGCGAATGTGAACAAGGTGCTCACTTCTGCAGCAGAGATATGGTATCGAATTGTGCTGGAAGGTGAGCATTACCAATCATACATCGAGGACCGATACGTCGGGGAGAAATTCGCATTACGTTTGCAAGATGGTGTGCGCGCACATGATCGTGACGCCCTATGTGAGTTTGGGTTTTGGCGGGCAAGCATGCTAGCTCTCTCGTGGAGAACCACATGGAGGAGGGGCACCGGAGGCTAGCGGGATCGCCGAGGAGCACGATGAGTATGAGCCAGAGAGGCTTCTGGAGCCAGGTGGTGTAGTGGATGAGCGTGCGTTGGAATTTGGAGAGTTGGTGAAGTGGAGGACTGTCTTGTGTCGGAGAACCCGCTCAAGGTGGAGCGTGGAGAGCATAGTGTGACCCATATCCCTTTTCGGTCATGGTGCAAACATTGCGTGTTTCCTTTGCCCGATTCCTTTCCCAGTGAACCAATATCCATAGGTGTGGATGCAATACCATTCACATGATCCAAGAAAGTGAACACATTGCCACTATTCTCCCACGCAATGATCTCTGAGGACAACTGCGCCAGCGGCACGGATTCCGGTGGGTTTGCGATCTTCGTCAGATGAGCTCGCTGTCGTCCAATCGTCGAAATGCCTCCATTCCGTTCGGTCTCTTCGCCTGCCGCACCAAACTCCGGGTCCTGTCCAAATGCGGAAACTGCGACAAAAGACAAAAGTGTAATCTGATCCAAAGGTATCTTCGGCTGCTTGTTCAACACCCATTCCAAGCTCTCCCATGTTCCAGGAATCTGTGCGTCTGTGAGTGTGGTAATCGTCTGAAAGGATACCTTGTCAAGAACTGTGGTTTGGCCAAGATCTTCGAGTCGACTCCACCTTGCTGAGTTGCATACGCTACAAACAGATGGACGCCACCTGTACTGAAGCCCGTACGAGGTCCTCCTCCTAGGCCATCCATGGAAAACGTCTGAGGTTGCTGTCCACCTGCATGCGCTCCACCACTCGGCAAACCCGTCCGGCTGCGCTCCACCTACCTGCTCTGTCTGCCGGTGTCCCCGGCCCTGGTGTGATGGACCTTGAACAGCTCCTCCTTGCCCAGGTGTGGTCAAATTTTCTGCTGTTTGCACCAACTGCGTCAACTGTTGCTGCAAGGATTGTACTGCGCCTGCAATCTGACCCGCCTGCTCCTGAGTTGCCGTCTGTTGCTGTTGAAAAGCCCCTTGCACTTGTCCAACCACAACCACGGTGTTGATCACCTGCTCAGCCTCGCTGGTCCCTCTGCTCTGCAACGATCTGACGTAGCGCCTCTGCTACCTCCTGCATATTGCTGGTATCGCTTGCTGTACTTGATTGCGCCATCCAGATTGTCCAGCAGAAACCCAAACCTAAGAGGATAAGCGCTGTTGCTACCACCACCAGCAAAATCCGGCACCCGGTCCAGGCTGAGCAGTTCTGTCTGCTTGGTCGTGTGGATGGTGCTCAAAAGCGGCAGGATGATGCTCCCAGCGGCACCAGATCGAGAACGCCCTCGGTTCGCCTCACGGGCTTGCCTGTCGGACTCCTCCAACCTATCCGCCGCCGCGTTCTCCACGTGCTGCCAAAACCTCAGCTCCTGCAGGCTCAGTTCATGCCCATTATAAAAAGCACCGCTGCGGTCCTCTTCTCGCAACCGGTGCTCCGCTACCATGAAAAGCGATAGCACCGAGCACTCCTGCTTTGGCTCTTGACAGCTGCGGTATGTTACACTTGTCGATTTGTGCTGCAGTGCACCATTCATGCAGAATATGGAAAAGAGCCGCGGCTATCCTCAAACTAAAAAGACCAAAGGAAAACCATGTAAGAAACCCTCATACAAAGTGTTTTTGTTTCCTTGGCCTTCGCAGAGTTTTTCATGCGACCCCCCCTCCCAGTCTGGGCCTGAGGGCACACAAAGCTGGAACTGGAACTCGGTCGTGCCTCACGTGAGGCAAACAAAAAGAAAAACATCAAGGTCTTGGAGCCTCCAGAGACAACCGTCCCAAGCCCATGGTGAGCCAATTCTTAGGGGACCCCAACACATTGTGGCATTCTTTTAAGTTAGGAGACCCCAACACATTGTGGCATTCTTTTAAGTTTCCCTTGAATCCACCAAAAGGGGGGGTGCCTTCAACAAAAACACCCATTTCCCGATTGTGTGTGGCCATCTGAAGTCACATGATCGCTCGGCCACAGCCCGCCATGAATCTGACAAACAAAAAATGAAAATACCCCCACTCAAGCGCATGGGGGGTGGACAAGAACCCTGTGAATGTCCCCCCCCCCCCCCAGCCGGGTCCCCAATAAAAAGTCAGTTCCCCAATTCAACTCCCCGATTCGGTGCATCGCAACTGACTGAACCCGGCCTGAAGAGGTGGATTTCACCTCCATCGGGCGGTTTTTTGTTGTTGGGCATCAGACACCCAAATGGATGTATTACCCTTTTGTGTGTTGGTTTCAAGGGAAATGTAGGGGGATCCTTCCATTTGCGAAATCCCCTTATTTTGAGACACATTATGGGTACCTAAAAAATGGTGGTCTGCCGTTCAGTTTCCCTCGAAAAGGTGAAGAAAGAGTTCTTTCATATGGTGAAATGCTCGTAAGGAAAGGGGGGCAAAGGCACCCAGATCTTGTGCAGCTCGATGTTTGCGTCAACTTAACACACTTCCACAAGGAGGCGCACCGGGGAGCACGGCGATGTTTCTGTACTTGGACTTGTTCGTTGTTGATTCAAATGTGTTAACATGGGTAATCTTCTTGAGCTACTTTCGAAGGGAAACCAACCGTGAAACTGCTTTTCGTCTTTACTGCTTCTTTCGACAACGTTTGGCCTGCCCTCTCTCCACAAAAAAAGACGACAGGCAACCAAGCAAAACTATCAGAAACTATGAGAATCCAGTTTCTTGAGGCCTGTTTGAAAAGCAGAAGCAACCACACAGTCACGGTCACGCAAGCATGTAAGACATTTCCGCGCGAACACGCGATTTGCGCCCTCATGCCCAAACCCACAGCGCGACCGCGCAGAACAACCAACGCGTGCACCTGCGATCCATGCCAAATGCCACATGCAAACAAGAACAAACACAAAACACACGCACACACACAAATAACCACGCAAACACGCACAAATACGTACAAAGCACACATACACAAAAACAAACAAACAAACAAACAAACAAACAAACAAACAAGCAAGCGAGCAAGCAAGCAAGCAAACAAACACCCACGCGCACGACACCCACGCAAAAACGAACCCGAACCCACAAATGCGTATTAAATGCACCTGCACCACACACCCACCCACCCACCCACGCACGCATGCACGCCGCACGCACGCACGCACGCACGCACGCACGCACGCACGCATGCACGCGCGCACGCGCGCACGCCCGCACGCACGCACACACACGCCCGCACGCACGCAAGCGCGCGCACGCGCACACACACACACACAAGCGAGCGCGAGCAAGCAAGCAAGAAAGCAAGCAAGAACACAAACAATCAAGCAAACCGGCAAACAAACAAAAGGTCGACACGCAAGCAAACAAAGCAAACAAGCAAACAATTAAAGCAAACAATTAAAGCACAAACAAACAACGACGCCAACAAAGCGAACAAGCAAAGCAAAGCAATCAAAGCAACCATAGCAAACAAAGTAATCATAGCAAACAAAGCAAACAAAGCGACTAAAGCAAAGCAAAACAAAGCAAGCAAAGCCAAGCAAACAAGCAAGCAAACAAACAAAGACACAACAAAACACAGAAACAAGCAAACAAGCAAACAAACACACACACACAGGCACGTCGATGCGTAATAGTCAATAAGACTCAACGGAAGTGTTGAGACGCGAAAAGTCCTCCGACTCCCTCTAGCAAGTGTTGAAACCTGTCGGATACAGGACATACACACACAATTCCACCTACATCAACACTTTCACGAAAATATTGAGTGCCCAGTTTCCTTTTTCTTTTCAGTGCAATACCTGGGCTTTCAGGAAATGTCTCCCTTCTTCCAAATCCCAGTTTTGACACGTCCACATCAGAGCTGTCGGCCTGAAAGACTTGGTCCGGCAGCGCCAGATCTGGCCTAGAACTCCCATCATTGATGGAGCTGGTCAACAGCTGAAAGGAGTCCTAGATCTCATGCACACATTCTAAGGTTCCATTTTTGGTCCCCCATTTTTGAGCAGCCATGTGTAGATACATGCACACATGCAAGAAGAGTGATCAGTTGCAACACCTCTCACAGGGCCATGACATGTTAAAAGCATCAGCATCACGGGTTATGCTCGCGTTGAATGGTCTATGGAGAGACGCCAAACCATTCTGCAATGCCTAAATGCTCAACACAGACCCAGCCTGTCGTCTTCACTTAGCACCTGGGCAGAGTTGGCTCCCTGAATTTCTGAATGGGCTGCGGAATGGTTGTCCCAATAGCCGAACGCACAACTCATGGCAATCCCCATAGCCTCAAGCAT